CCTTTTTGTAACAATTTCAAAAATCAGCAGCAATTTAATTGACAACCATTTCATTTGAATATCAAATCCATGTTGAAACAAAATATTACATCCAATTCTACAATAACAACAAAAATAGATACACACAGATTAAGGACATATAGATGACAGGAAGGTACAACACAGCAATCACGTTCTATATACTTATTTTGTTAAAATAAAATCTGAATCTGCTAGTAGAAGTGTGCTCCTGTGGATCTGCCAAAAGATTTTTTAATCACCTGCCAGTTTCATCCCCTCAGAGAAAAAAAAAATACTTGTGCATAATGAATCACAGCAAACCAAAAAACATACTGTATTTTAAAACAGTTATAATGGAATTATGGAAATTAGTGTAGCTGTTAGATTTTGTGCAGTCTGGAAAAACAAAAATGGCACCATATAGACTCAAAGTCTGCTGTAAACTGTATGGATTTGAGGTGCTAGCGCTTCAACAAACCGAGTCTGCGGGTTTATGAGGTGCACGTTCTCTCGTCACAGGGAAGAGTCATTTGAAAGGCTAAGCTCTCGGAAAGCCATAAAGCGGACTCAGTCCACAGTGGTAGCACCATTTAAATGTATTTATTCAGCACCATGCTATTAACAGAACTCAAAGATCGATCAGGAGTGTAGGAAGAAAATGCATCGTTTTTGCCATTGGAAAATTCTCTCTTAGCTTCATAATACACCAAGATGCAAAGTTAAACTTGGTCAGATATTCCACTGGCTGGTTGCTACACATTGATGTCAGAACTAGATGATTTGTTGTGCCATCAAAAGCACTTACATGCCATATTTTGAGAGTTTTGATGGGTTCTAAAAGCATACTGGGAGGTGACAGGAAATGAGTTACACTCAGGGTCTTTGTGATTGGACATAGCATATTTTTGCTTTGTTATGTCTTATTCAGCATTATGTGTCTTATTCCAACTGAAGACATTAAGGGTTTGGATTTATTGTCCAAATGAGACAGGTACACACAATGCATAAGAATATTACTGTACGTCTTGGCACTAAAAACACATCTGTCAATGCAAGACAGTAGATGTAAAGGCATAGATAAAACAATGAGACGTTCCAGTTGTTGGAGATCAAAGCTGGCATCTAGTAGGACTTTCAATCCAAAAGCCCAGAACTATCTGCTAATATGGATTAATCATTTTATTCGTTTCACTTTACTTAATGTGGAACCCTATTTTCAAATAAATAAGATTTCAGTATTGACCAACTACTTGTTATTATGTTTCTGTAAGAACCAGTCGTTAATTTTTAACACAGTACCTACACTTCGAGGGCATTGTGTGTCACACTGTTGGGTGAAGCTGTATTACTGTAATGGTGTAATAGTGCAGATTGTTTTACGACTTAATGAAATCTGTGAACTGAGGTTTGGGTTTAGAGAGCTGGGAACTTGGCTTGATTTGATCATTTGGTGTTGTCATCTTGGTGAGTTCACTGGCACATGACACAAGGGAAAAGAAAAAAGAAAGGACATTGGCATTAGTTGTTTGCGGACCTGGCTGCCATGGCTGAATTGAAGTAACAAGGCACAACAAGGACTGAGAAGAACACCTGTGCTGTTCATAGGCTCTTGCTGTGTGTTGTGGCTATTGATGGATGCAGAGTTGGTCAGGGAACCTATCAGAAACAATTCTCTGCAGGTAACAGATACACAAAATTGAAAGAAACCAATCTAATATGCACAAACTTAGCTCAATTAATTAATTAGCATGTAGCTTATTGTTTCAATAAAATAAATTTAACTCATTGCTAGTGTTACAACAATGCATTTACACAAGCCTAAATACTCGGCGTTGTACAACATTAAGCACCACAAGATGAAAATCACCCTTGCTTTCCCTAATCTTCTTTAGGTTACTTTAGAGTAATGCTGAATGCGCACAGAAATAAATTAATCACAGTGTATTTGCACCTGATGTGGACTTGACACGTCCATGTCTGGAGAAGGTCAACAGTGTGTAAAAAGAATGCCAGGCAGCCAACTACCACAATAACAAGAATGAGTACTCATTCTGAAACAAATCATGTGCAAATCATAACTGGGTAATACTGTCATCCCAGCCGAGGAGTGGCACGGGACGCAAGAAGTTACAGAAAAAATGGAGACCCTTGAGGACATGCCTGGGGATGAGAACTGCATTGAGACACACCTGAGTCAGCTGTTTCAGTGGTCATGTTTGTTGGTCCTGAGGAGCCCCTGTATTGGCTGTTTTTCTTTTTTTTTCTTTTCTTTTTTGTTTAACAATAGTAACATTATTGACTGATTGTTCATTAATTGACTAGTTATTAACATGGCTGTTAATTCACTACAACAGAGAGAGGAACTATTCTATGGTAAACAATAAACAGGTTGGTTGTTTGCATACATATGTATATTTATACATATTATTTGTTGGTCGTTCGCTCCATCTTAGCTCATCCATCAATGCATCCATCCATCAGTCCAAGCAACCAACTATTTCTTTTACTCAGGGCTGAAGGTCTCTTTTAGCTGAAGGGGGGCAGACCCTGAATGTTGAAGCTCTTGGTAATGGCAGTGTACCTCATTGCATGTTCTCATGTCAGGATCTCCAGTTGTTCAGCCTAAACCCCTTTGTTCAGTTACCAGAGAGAGTGAGGGATTTACGGCAGCCTCCCGAGGTCCACAAACGCAGAGATGCAGAAGAGGGTGGAGCAGCAACCAAGAATGGAGTCGAATAACTGGCCTGAGAACAGAACCGTGGGAAAGGGTTTTGGAGCCGGCTGTACACACATACACACATACACACATACACACTAGTTTGTGTGCACACTAACCATCATACATGCTCCAGTAGGGTCCTTTACCACGATCTGCGCTCGTGTTCCTCTCCATTCCTGGCAAAAATCCCCTCTCACCTTTAGCCTGGTCCTGCATGGCTCCTGCTTTTACAGTACGGTGTTAGCAGGCACTCTTTGCCATAGCTAAACAGAAAGCCAGCGAGCCAGGAAAAAGGGAATCTCTGGTTTGTGGGGGACCCGTGGGCTTCCCTTGTTGGGTGCATTTATACTAATGCCACATATTAAACTCATGCCACACAGCACAATGTAAAAAACACATATTATATATCTAGATAAACTATAGAGTATGTTGGTTAAATTAGTGTATGAAATGTTTCATTTTCCTGCCTTCTGTGGATGTTTGAAGGCTTAGTTCCATTTTCTCTGCTCTTATTTCTAATGAATGAGTGCAGTGGTCGTCTCTTGGGTGTCTGTGGTCGTGGTGCTCCTGCAGGTTCACCTGGGAAATGTATATTAGTGCGAAACTGCTGCACAGCCAGCCCATGAATCACACACATTTTTGCATGAATTCATTCTACTTGTTGAAGGGGCAGATAAATTGTAATGACAGTTCTGTAAGGTACAATTTGGTTTTGTTTTTTTTATATGCACCAGCAGGTGCCAGAATGTTTGCGCTGTGTAGAGCACACTGATGTTGAAGATACGACTCAATACACTGCAGTATGTTTGCCTACGTAAAAAAAGAGCGTGCTCTGGCAAAATATACTTATGTCAGTAACTCTTGGACACAAATATGCATTAACATATAAGAGCATAGAAAAATCTATATTTGTCTTAATTTTTTTCAAGAATGTGTGTCTTTGCACCCATCAAGCATGTATTTGTCAAACTAAACCGTTTGAGGATAAGACACGGGGAGGGATAATACAAAGTCGGTTCTTTCAGGATTTTCAAAGGGAATGGTGGAGGATTCCTGTAAGGCTGTCTTTGCACTGTGCACGTGCACGTTCATATGCTCACTGTACTCATGCATCTGTCACTAAAATCTTAAAGAAATAAGTCTCTGGAATGTTTTATTCATAATTTTAATCTTCCAAATTAGAAAACATTGTGCTTATCTTTTGATGACCTTCCTTTTTGTAATTATTTTCGGTGCTTTTTTTTGTAATATTTTGTGCTCATGATTTTGGGCAAACGGACCAAGTAAAGCATGCGTTTACAGATAATCTCCAGACGAGGGCAGTCTGCGACATGAAAATAATGGGTGGAACTGATTGAAGGTCAGTGTGCTTCTCTTCTTTTCACTTCCATACATAATGTGATTATCATTTAGAATTTAGAACAAAAATAGTACAGCCAGGATACACTGGAGCCAAATAATCTCACAGAGAAGAAACGTAAATTCCTGTAGTGTAACTGACATTGTGATTTTAAACACCACAGTTCTTTTCAGTGCTGTCAAGACTTACAGTTATTACACTTTTCAATGATTTTCAAAAAAAGAATGGCAGTAAATGGTGTGCAAAGACCTGCCCTCTCTGAGTTTCTCCTCCATCATTCCCATCAGGCTTTGCGTCGGTCCCGCGTTACAGGGACATACAGTATGCCCTTCACAAGTATTCACAGGTTAAATCACCAATACAGTAAAACGCATTTGCACACATTTCATAATGAAACATTCATATGTTATCTACACACTCATACTGAACCCTCCTGTATATAGAGAGATTTATATGAGACTTTGTATATATTACATAAGATACTGTAGGTTCGTAATCCTCTCTTTGTGCTGTTTCCCTCCCGAAAACGATAATAAGTGATAGAAAGTGGTGTGTTTTGACAGCTTCAACTGTCACAACGTTTCTCTTGTGTGTGGTGTTGGGAGATCATCTGGAAAAACACAGCCTGCCTCTGCACACACAAGCCGTCGTGGCTTTTTATCCACAACGACTCAGTCGCAGTGACTGAAGCCCGCCCACAGTGCACTGCGCAGCCAATGAGGAGCCGTCAGGCCACTTCCTCGTTTCAACCGCCATATGGTTTAAGGAGGCATCAGGCAGTTAAACACACGGAGAAAAGAAAACAGTCAGACACATGGAGAGAGAGAGAGGGAGAGAGAGAGAGAGATTCATAAGGAAAGAGACAATATGAGAGGAGGAGAAAGAGCACAGTGAAAGAATGAGTGGGCATCACGGTGGGTAAGAGAGGGTGGGCTGTGTGAGAGGATGCCTTCAGAAGGAAGATTCATACTGCAGGAGTTCATACAGAAGTGGACCATCCCTATACCTGATGCCCACTGCATTTGGGCTAATGTACTGCAGTACATTTATGGTCCTGCGTAGGCGCCGGTCCACAAAATGTGCATCCCATGCAGGATAGCGTTTTCTGGGCATGTCTATCTTGATGAGAGGACCCTCAGGTCGGATGGGTCTGCCGGCAGCATCCACAGGTTCGGTGGACCTGACCTGGAAAACTGGAAGGCAGGTGTCCGTGGCTGTTTCATCTGAATCCATTTGTTCCCCTGCCAGGCCTCGTGTGGGGGTGGCCTGAGAGCCACGCGGGCCTGGTGTTGGAGCCATGGGTTCAGCTTCAGGGGGTAATGGAAGGCCCCATAGCAGCTCAGCACAACAGGAACTGGCCAAGATCCTCAGACGGGGCCCCATGGGGTGTAGGACCCCGTAATAGAGAACCATACAGGCCACACCTGAGGCAAAGCACAGGAAGACGCCACATAGGGCAAAAGCGGCATAGGCGTCAGTGGTGGCTGGGTCACGATACGCATACCACAGGGAAGTGAGGATGGTGTTCTCTAAAAGTACTAGTGTGTAATAGGTAACCATTCTAAACCGTGTCCTTCCCTCACGTACATTGAACCAACAGAAGACATACACCACACCCACCACCATGTTAAACAGTACCTCCTCCCATTTGGACATACAGAAGTCGGTGCCGCCATGGATGACCCAGAAAGCCATGGCACACCAATGGAGCACCACAAAAATGCCAAAATAGATGTGGAAAACTGAGGCAAAGAGGGCAAAGGAAAGCACCCGTGAGGAGATGGTAAAAAGGCGCCACAACAGATGCACCAGGGCACCTCGGTAACTCATACTCTTCTTGTCGTCACGTGAGTCACGCAGAAGTTTGTGGTAAGAGGCTAGCACCCATGCCAGGGACAGGAGGGAGGACATGGCAGAAACACCTAAGAAGAAAGTCAGCAAAAATATATATTATTTAAAAATCCCAAATCATAAAAAAACAAGAAAAAATGTCATCATTTATACAGTAAAACAGCATAGGATTGATTTGACCAAATCCATAATACATGATACTTTCAAAGAATCTCATATAAGGCCATTTGTAAAGTCCTTACACTGAAGCCACTCAGCCTTGTTGCTCTGGATCATGATGCAGAGCTGCAGCACCAGCTGAGGGGCACTTTCTAAGAAGGTCTCCAGCAGTCTCAGCATGTTGACATCGGCATACTCATACAGCATAGCCCAGTAAAAACGCCGCTGATTTTCCTTCTGTCGATGACTCTGTATGCCGAGATACATTGTGCGTACGTACCTGCAAAAACAGCAAGGATGGTTGGTCAGACAATTTATTTTTTCTGGATGTGTCTACCAAATGCAAAGTCTCCCATTTTCTTATTCGTCTTTAAACTAATATTTATTTTACAGGAAATACATTGTCTTGTTAATCTATGCGACAGTGGTGATAGCAGCAGATGACAAGAAATAAAAAAAATAAACAGAGCCGTTGTAGAAGGTCATGGTGTGCATCATTCTTTACTTCTTGCTAGTACCTCAGTATTGTGTTCATCTAAACGAGCTTCGGTTTCACCCTGAGTAAACTGTGAGTGAATTTAAACTGAAAACAAAAACAAAAAATCATTACATATAAGTTTTGTTGGTGATGAGATTTATTTTATGTGAAACATGCCATGGCTGTAAAAATGTTGGGAAACACAGCACTAGATGTTTATCTGTATCCTAATAACTACTTATTATCATTGTTAGATCCTTGTGAACATATTACATATAAAGAACAGGGCTGGAAAGTGTAACAGAAATACACTGCAGCATGACAAATGATGCAGTTGATGAGTTGTTTTGAACATAATTAGCTTTTGCATCAGCTGTTGGGAAATATTTTGCAGTCGATTCAAAATGAGACTTAGAGCAGAGCTCTCTTAAGAAGACGTAAGTTTGGGCCTGATTACCTTCTTGTTATTGTTTTTACCAAAATGGCACATAAACCAGTCTATACTGAGAAAGACATCCAATAATGGTGAATAAAGTTGCTGCTTATTTTTCATTTTATTTTCTAAAAATGAATTCTAGATAAGAAAGCTAAAGATATAATTGAGAAAATTATATCTTTATCTTTCTTTTTTTTATATGATATAAATTTGGGAAAAAAAAGAAAAAGAAAATCCAATGATGCTTTTCCTCTGGATAGTGAACAGGAAGTGTACATAAAATGCTACAATGGACAGAAAATTTGAGGGTCAGTAGCTCTGGGCTGTAAGATGCGCTATTATAAACACAAGTAAAGCCTGGCATACCATGACATTTTGAGTCAGAGTGGTAAATGTCAGAGAGAACGAGTCAACCCCCCACTCCGGCACAGTGACATGCCACGGAGACCTACACAGAACCTTGTCTCCATCCCCAGTTTCAATTAGACTCTGTGTGCTCCAGTGATACATCCCACTGCCTGGTGGTGCTGCTGTCAGAGGCACAGAAATCTTCATGAGCCTACGGAGCTCCCGGCTTTACAGGAAAAGAGTCAACGACATGGTGTAGCTGGCTTTTTCAAAGAGCCAATTATAAGAATGCTTATATGGTCAGAGTTTAATCAAATGTTTTTTGACATTCATGTTAAAATGGAGAGACCAATACACATATGTACGGTGACATCCTGTGAAATAAATAGAGATGTAAAAGCCACAAAAACACTGTTTTATAGGGAATGGAAAACGTGGAATGTTTTTCAACACATTATATTTCAGTCCAGTTTCTGTCAATTAGTGATGCCAAATAATGATGTTTTTGTTCTAACGACATCAACACACGGCATGCATTAACATGACCATGTGATCAGTGTAAGTCAGTAAGAACACAACACTCTGTGCTGCTTGGTTCTTACTGGATCTTGAGCAATTCAAAGATGTTTATCATGAAATATTTCCTGAAAACTGTCTCAAAGCAGCTCATACTCTTGGCATTTCCTATACCTGCCTCCTCTAATCAAAATATCTGGAAATGCTGGTTTGACTGTTACATTTTCAGTGCAGTATAGTTTGAGTCACACCTAGAAAAAAACACCTGTAAAAATAAAACTAAACCCTCTCACAGCTGTCAACTGAAATATAAACTCACATCGTCATTTCACAAACACACACGTAAACCGCATTCACACGTCTCACATGCAACCTGCATTTGTAATTCACAGTGTTAACTCTCCCACTGTGCCTTTTCAGATGTAGTAACACAAATGGATCCATGCAAATCAGCACGCACGCTCCCTTTTTAAACGCACAAACACGCACGTACTTGACACTGCTGTACATAATTTGCTTTCTATTCTGGGCACATTTGATAGATGGATCTCTCTCTCCTTCTGTCTGTCCTCCTCCCACTTAAATCCCATCTTCACTCCACTTAGACCATTGTCTTCCTCCACTTGCTTCTTCCTCTTCCCACTCAGCTCCACAGCTCCTCGACAGGGCTGCTCATGAATTATTTGTAGCCGGATCATAGAGATCACTCATGGCTCGTTAAGCATCATACGCATGGCCTAACAGTTTCAGCACTGTGCCGGGGTCACGTCCCAGGCCGAGCAGTCTGCCATCACTGTCGAGACACGGTCAACTATTAACCCCCTGCTTCTCCCTCCCACCACCACAACATCCACCCAACACACACGTGCGGTGTCATGCTTCTCAGATGGACTAATTAAATGTGAAGCTCAGACTTACATACGTGGAGCGTGAGCAGCAGTGAAGGGCAGGTGGACTGAGAAACACTCACACTCACACACACAACCTTGCACCCACAGACCATGTGGACGACTGGCTGCTTGGCTGTTATTCCTTCAGCTGCTCACAAGTCATTGACCGATGAGTCATTCAACCATCCTTATACTGATACGTGGAGCGGGCTGATGGATCACACACACACACACACACACACACATGCACACACCTAGAGTAGCTTACCAGCATCTGTGATATAGGAAGAGTCACAAGGCTCAGTCTGAGTTATGTCATGAACAGATTTACAAATACTAATATGACAGCGTGAAGATGCTGTGTCATCTGCTCACACATGGAATCTGGTGATGTAGAGAAGCAACATACGATATAACGTACACAAAGCCTCCTTGTCTTGTCTGTGTGTTTGAAGTAGAGGCATAGCCAGCTGTGATGAGTCACACCCTGAGTCACTTCTCTGTGAGGTTTAAACCTCCAACCATCCCTGGCTCTCTTTCCTCACCCGTCTGTGTCTGTGCCTTACTTCTCAACACCACAGCACAGTTTATTTGTTGCCTGCTGTACGACCTGCTGTCTCAATGAAAAGATGACCTTTTACTGTGCCAGAATTAGTGGCTATTGTTCTTGTGTTGTTCTTGTTTTTTAACAATCAATTTATTGCGCTTCAAAATGATTTTTTTTCAACTTTGAATAAATATTATTTCCTTTTGTTCTGTACAGCTGACACCTGCCTGTCTATAAAATATTGTGAGCAGTAGCATTTATAGCACTTCTTTCATAGGAGAATAAGCGCTTGCTCATTTAACCATTTGGAGGTCAAGAGTGTAGATCAGATAAAAAAAAAAAAAACAACCTCCACTCAAGGACATTTCAAAGCACATTGTCAAAAATCAGACTCCTTTTGCACTTTACAGAGAATAAACGCTATACCAGCTCTGGCAGCAGCATAACAGAGGTGTCGGTGGCGTTTTATTCATCATCTGCCAAGTTGTGCAGCGCTAAAGAAAACTGTTATATCAAACATCCTCAAAGCTTTGCCTCTCAGCCTCTACAGGAGAATCAAAAATAATAAGGAAAAAATAGTTATTTTCAAAGCACAGGCCCCAGATTCTCACACTCCGCAGACAACACGTTGGATTTCCCAGTGTTCCCTGTTATACTGATCCCTCGGCTGATACGTCCTTATCCTCCGTATGGCAGCAAATAGTCCAGGATAAAAGTGTGACACAGTCCCACGGGCGAGTCATACACACTCACACGGAGACACACAACAATCTGTGACCAGTGATGTTTGGCACTTCCTCAAACCCTGAGCTGCTCGACTGTTTAATGGGGACTGGTTTGACATAATACAAGCTGAAAGTGATGGGGAACGGCAGGCTGAGATCAGTGATGCTGTGTCAGCTCTGCTCCGCCCTGTCAGTTCTTGGAGCGTTCCGTGGTTAAACAACTCTGATGCCTTGACTAAATATTATCGCTATAATTATAGGACTGCATGTGTACACAGCTATGCCTGTGGTTTGTCAGAAGAGGTGATTTATTATTTATTCATTTTTTTAGCAGTCATTAAGACATCTCAGGTTGTACTAGATGGGAGTACATAAATATACTGACATATCTAATGAGTACAGGGCTCAGGGGATGTGCTAAAATTACTATAAAGTGTGTGTTTCTTTGTAAGAAAAATGGTACTTCAATCCATGGATTAGCTTCCTAACACACATTTATAGCTAAATAAAAATGCTGAACGGAGCTCCCACACTTACATTCGGCTGCACACACATATTACGTTTCACAAATAATGGGCCAGCAAACTGAAATGTGTTGCCACTCAGATGAGTTATTTAGATAAAACAGGAGAATAAATGGATTATTAAGGTTGGCTGGTATTGTCAGTTTGGAGAGCGCTTCCTCAAACGATTTTCTCCGCGCTGTGATTCAGATGTTGAAGAAAACTGATAATGTTTCACATTTAATTACGTGTGCATCAAAAAGCCTGGCTGCCTGATAATCAACACACTGACCCTCAGCAGGTACAGTACTGAACTCCATCTTTCTCGTTTCCTCTCCGCACAGCTGCTCATTTGTCACCATTAGCAACGGTCCTCGGGTAGCCCAACACATTACACCGTGGTCACATGACTGCACGCCACCACCAAGACGACTAGATATGGCAGTGAATGAAAAGAGAGACAGAAATGGTCGGGGTAGATAAGATAAAATAAAGAATAGTGGGTTGATAATGTCAACAAATTAAGAAAAAAAAAAAGAAAGACAAGTCTCATGCTGAAGGTTTTCCTGATAAGCAACAGAGAAGATTCATTCTGATCTGAGATAAACTTGGATCCATTTTCTAAAAGTGGACAAAAGCACAGTGTAGATAAACCTGGACAGAGTCCAGGGACTCAGTCAAGGGTTCCCGCCTCTCATTTTCCCAATTCTGTTGATCACTTAATGTGTCCACTAGAAGATAAGAAGGTGTGTTGACCAGTCAAAGATAGTGTTAATTAACTGATGTGTTTTATTTAAACAAGGCTGACAGAATTTTCATTCAGCTCCTCACAACTTCCTTTTCAAATGAGTCCAAACAGTGTAGTTGTGAAGTGACACCCTGCTCTTCACCTTTAACAACTCAGCGTACTCCATATTTTGTTTTTATGGGGCATCAGCTTTTTACAATTTGATGTTTGCTTAAAAAGGTTAAGGTGTCAGGTGAAGTGATATTTCCGAACTACCTTCACAAACACATGGTGCGTTGCAGTTGGTTTCACTGCTCTTTATATTAAATGTACTGTAGAATATTTGCCTTGGGG